TATATATATATATATATATTTGTCTTCGTCAGGATTTGCGTCAATCAATGGCAATAAAAGGGTTTCGTAAGGCAGTACTGGGGAGGAGAGGAGAAATGGCGAATCCCAACAAAGTGACCATCCCTGTAAAGTACTGAATCACATCATTCACATTTCACAAGGCTTACGTCAACACGGCTTTCTTACATGATGTCACTGTTCCCGTCGCACACGGAAATAATTTAAAATTTTTAATTCTTTGGTTTTTTTTTTTTTAACATATTTACAATAGGCGGGCTTCGAATCCAACCCGGGGAGGAGGGAATGCACCGGGATGGTTATTGCCACTAAATCGCAAAAGTCATGTGCAATTCTTTGGTTTTTTTAGTAAAGTGTCGACCAAAAAATCACATAAATTATTGATTATAAGTTTTGTAAAATAAAAATTATAAAATAAAATAAAATATATAATTTTTAATATTAAAAGACATACTAAAAGCAAAAGAAAGAATTTTTTCATTATTTTACTTTAATTTTTTTATATTTTATTCTAATTTACCCAACCTATAAAGAGATGAAAATAGAAAAAAGATTCTTTTTTTTTTTTTCATTTTACTCATGCTCAATACGAATGGAAAAAAAATTATTATTTCAATTCAAATTGATAAAAAAATGAATTTTTAAGTAATGGTCGTTTCTTAAACATGGATGTTAGATGTGGAATTAAATTAACTGTTCTTTTTTATTAAGATTTGAAGATGAGTTTCGAGCAATATTTTCATTTAAAGGAAGTGACCATTATTAGTTTTTTTTTTAATAGGTACTTATTATGAAAAATTCAAAAATTAAGTGGTAGTCTTTATTACACATATTAAAAAATGATTTTTTTAATTTATGTCTTTTAAAATATAAGTTCAAAATGTATTAAACATATTTTTTATTAATTTATATTAAAAAATTAATATTTAATTTATTAATTTTTAACTATATTTATTCATTCTATAATAATATTTAAATTAATATTAATTTTTATATCTTTTTATATATTTATAATAAAAAAAATC